ATTAGTCTTGAGAAGATTTGAGTTTGGTAAGAAGGGTGATCTAACGGAGGATGATTACATCAGATTCCTCTGCGGCAGCGATTACAGTAGCGACCAGGTTAAGGTAATCACGACCAGGGTAGTGAACTGTGACGAAACAGAAAAAATGTACCCTTGGGAGCTCAACTACCCGGCGATCGCGGTTCGGATCAACGCATCAAGGCCGTCCAAATTAGTTGAGATTTCGGTCCCTAGAACTGTGACGCACGTTAGTGATGGTGCGGCCACCTACACCGTAAAAATCACCAACCCTGGGGACACTGTCGTTTTCATTAGTCTTGAGAAGATTTGAGTTTGGTAAGAAGGGTGATCTAACGGAGGATGATTACATCAGATTCCTCTGCGGCAGCGATTACAGTAGCGACCAGGTTAAGGTAATCACGACCAGGGTAGTGAACTGTGACGAAACAGAAAAAATGTACCCTTGGGAGCTCAACTACCCGGCGATCGCGGTTCGGATCAACGCATCAAGGCCGTCCAAATTAGTTGAGATTTCGGTCCCTAGAACTGTGACGCACGTTAGTGATGGTGCGGCCACCTACACCGTAAAAATCACCAACCCTGGGGACACTGTCGTTTTCATTAGTCTTGAGAAGATTTGAGTTTGGTAAGAAGGGTGATCTAACGGAGGATGATTACATCAGATTCCTCTGCGGCAGCGATTACAGTAGCGACCAGGTTAAGGTAATCACGACCAGGGTAGTGAACTGTGACGAAACAGAAAAAATGTACCCTTGGGAGCTCAACTACCCGGCGATCGCGGTTCGGATCAACGCATCAAGGCCGTCCAAATTAGTTGAGATTTCGGTCCCTAGAACTGTGACGCACGTTAGTGATGGTGCGGCCACCTACACCGTAAAAATCACCAACCCTGGGGACACTGTCGTTTTCATTAGTCTTGAGAAGATTTGAGTTTGGTAAGAAGGGTGATCTAACGGAGGATGATTACATCAGATTCCTCTGCGGCAGCGATTACAGTAGCGACCAGGTTAAGGTAATCACGACCAGGGTAGTGAACTGTGACGAAACAGAAAAAATGTACCCTTGGGAGCTCAACTACCCGGCGATCGCGGTTCGGATCAACGCATCAAGGCCGTCCAAATTAGTTGAGATTTCGGTCCCTAGAACTGTGACGCACGTTAGTGATGGTGCGGCCACCTACACCGTAAAAATCACCAACCCTGGGGACACTGTCGTTTTCATTAGTCTTGAGAAGATTTGAGTTTGGTAAGAAGGGTGATCTAACGGAGGATGATTACATCAGATTCCTCTGCGGCAGCGATTACAGTAGCGACCAGGTTAAGGTAATCACGACCAGGGTAGTGAACTGTGACGAAACAGAAAAAATGTACCCTTGGGAGCTCAACTACCCGGCGATCGCGGTTCGGATCAACGCATCAAGGCCGTCCAAATTAGTTGAGATTTCGGTCCCTAGAACTGTGACGCACGTTAGTGATGGTGCGGCCACCTACACCGTAAAAATCACCAACCCTGGGGACACTGTCGTTTTCATTAGTCTTGAGAAGATTTGAGTTTGGTAAGAAGGGTGATCTAACGGAGGATGATTACATCAGATTCCTCTGCGGCAGCGATTACAGTAGCGACCAGGTTAAGGTAATCACGACCAGGGTAGTGAACTGTGACGAAACAGAAAAAATGTACCCTTGGGAGCTCAACTACCCGGCGATCGCGGTTCGGATCAACGCATCAAGGCCGTCCAAATTAGTTGAGATTTCGGTCCCTAGAACTGTGACGCACGTTAGTGATGGTGCGGCCACCTACACCGTAAAAATCACCAACCCTGGGGACACTGTCGTTTTCATTAGTCTTGAGAAGATTTGAGTTTGGTAAGAAGGGTGATCTAACGGAGGATGATTACATCAGATTCCTCTGCGGCAGCGATTACAGTAGCGACCAGGTTAAGGTAATCACGACCAGGGTAGTGAACTGTGACGAAACAGAAAAAATGTACCCTTGGGAGCTCAACTACCCGGCGATCGCGGTTCGGATCAACGCATCAAGGCCGTCCAAATTAGTTGAGATTTCGGTCTCTAGAACTGTGACGCACGTTAGTGATGGTGCGGCCACCTACACCGTAAAAATCACCAACCCTGGGGACACTGTCGTTTTCATTAGTCTTGAGAAGATTTGAGTTTGGTAAGAAGGGTGACACAGAAAGTTACGTGGTTACGATTTTGGCTGACAACACTAGTCCGCGTGGATGGTCAGATGAAATTGTTAGTGAGTTTGGAATGCTTACGTGGACAGATGGCAAACATTGGGTCACTTCTCCTCTTGTGGTTACTTGGGTTCATCAGTGGGTTTAAGTCGCTGGTTTAGGACCATGCAGTTTTAAACATAAATTATATCGTTAACCTAATTATATGAGAGAGATTATAGTTTATGGAAATTTGTAAAGAATGTAACAAGTCTGTAAGCACAGTATCGTTTGATTTATGCGTTTAAATTAGTAATTTTTATTTTTAACATTTGAAATTTAATTTTTTATAAGAAAAAACACCCATAAATTTGAACACATAAAATAAACGGACCCTAAGAAGCTCCGTGGAATATTATAGAGAATACAAACACACATTATTATGATCTACGAGTCATGTCGTACCATATCAGCTTGGTCCAATTCAACACATGGAGTTCGTAACTTAGGATTCATGAACTTTCTATTAAAAAAAAAAAAGAAGATATGTCATCAGTAATTAAGATCTCAGTAAACATATGACAATTTTTAATGCCGATGTTCATGAATATAGAGATATTAATTTTAAAATATTGTACTTTTCTTCTGTGTGTTTACTACTCCAGAGAAGTTAGGAAGATAAGAGAGTACTTTTACATAACATCAACAGTTTAAGGAGAAGAATGAGAAAGAAAAAGGGGAATTAAATGTTTTCTTTTTGACCTTTTTTTTTTTTTTTTTCTTTTAACAGGACTGGATCAATCCACAACCTCTCCCAAAGCTTCACTCCAAAGTCCACACAAACTCGGCTCACATAAATTATCACACGGCATATTAAATAAAAATTATATGTACAAATTAAGATACATATAGAAATCCAATTCTAAGTTATCATAGCGTATTATTCCTTTTTATTTATTATAATGAATTACAAAAATAATTTTTAGACACTTTTTTTAATACTTTTTTCCCCCCTCTTTAGTACATTTTTATTGCTCAATAAATTCCGTTAGAAAGTCCATAATATGCTTTGTAATTTTCATCATAGACCTGCCAATGAAAAGTAGTCCTATTTAATTTAAATGTTGGCCCCGAAGGCAAAACGATCCCTTTTTTCTTTCAGTTTCAAACGTAAGGGTTAAAAAAAAATCATTGACCTGAACATCTCTTTTCGGTCATTATACACCTTGACAACCATATTATTCTCTCTCTCTCTCTCTCTCTCTCTCTCTCTCTCTTTCTCTCTCCTTCCCTTTTCCCTCTTCTCATCTTCCTCTTAATAATTGGACTTAGTAGTTAGTATTGGGCATTTATAATTCTTTCTTTTTCTAGCAAATTAACAAGAAGTTAACCATAGCTCTTGTCCGCGACTGTCATGAAGATCGTTTTTTCTTCTGTCATTCGTTTCCTTTTTTGCTTATAACATGTCATGGCGGGTATGTTAATGCTACATTGACGAAATTCTCCTATAAATGCACGATTGAAGTGATCAGAGAGCGAAATTCTCCTATAAATGCACGGTTGAATTGATCAGAGAGCGAAAGTTAGTGCTCATTACGCGACATGCTCTCCATCTATAAACATTTGTCTAATTATGGTAATGAGCAATGTTGAACAATGAGATATGACAGTACTGGCTGTTGATTCTATATTGTTTGTCCACTGTAATACAATTAGTACTCTAGCTACGTCCCTACCATCACATACATATTAAGGGAATTTGTGAAAAACCAATCTATTTATACTTTATGCTTTCAAATTGTAATTTCACTATTTACTCTAAACCATGATCACTAAGCCTATATTGGCATCATAACACAAAATATATACATATATACTTTTTAAGAAATCGAACTTGATGTCCCGTTTCCCCTCATTTTTAATTTATTTGAGTAGTTTTTCCATGCAAATCAACAAAATCGATTAAGTTCACAAAGTGACTTTTTCACTATTAATTACTAACTAATTATAAAGCCTGCAATGTCCATTTGCTTAATAAATTATTATGAACTAATTACTGCTGATCGTATTATTGGAATATATATGTCCACATGAAGAGAGAACTGAGAAGATTAGCTCCCCACGCAAATTAGAAAAAAAAAAAAAAAAAAAAAAAAAAAAACCCATTTTACGGGGCAAAAATTTTTAAA